GTTTATTAGTTGATTATTTTGGTAGTGTCTTTAGTTTATCCCTTGTGTGTGTTATTGGTTTGGCCAGCCAATATATATGTTCCCCTGTGTGTGTCATTTGTTAGGTCAGTTGGTTTTGTTGAGGTATTAGACAGTTCAGTTTGCTGTAGTTTGAGTTTCCTTATCTTTTGTTGACCTCTTTTAGGGCCCAATTTATCTGATGTTAATTTTGTATTTTTCTTACTTTTGGGTTAACAAAAAGTCCTTTATTTTGAACTTTGGAAGCTGTGTCTTTTGCCTTACTGCTTGGTCCCTGACAGCCTGACACCCCCCTCTTTAGAGCCAAATAATGGGTAAACATCATTTAACTCATATACTGAGCTTCCATATGAATGCTCTCCCATTCTTTGGCACATTTAATTATGTAATATTGACTGTGTTGTACCAGTCTTTGGAGGGCAAAGAAAGCAGCTTTCTCCTTGGCATCATTTTCTGACTGGCACCGTGGACCGTGAACCATCAACCCATTGGACAGCTTCACCTGACACACAACGAGGCCCTTGGAGACAAATGACAACGTTATCACAAAGTTTCAAGTAATAAATAATGTGCGAAAAAAAAAAAGTGGTTTGCCACGTCTGTGCAAGGTGTCGTGTGTGCGTGGGTTGGGGGGGGTAAAATAAACGTTAGACATCCAACAAACTGTCACCTGTCTGTTGCATATATAGCTGAACTCGGGTGGTGCCATGCCTAAGCCCACACAGAGACATGCCAGCTCTGAAACCTTACTGGTCAGTACAGTGTTGGAGAGGTTGGCAGAGGCAGCTGATGCAGGAGAAGCTAATACAGCTGTGTCACTGAGAGGTGCATCCATCTTTGCCGCTGCATGGGAACAAAGAGGGATGAAAAGTAAAAACTGTCACTGGAGTTGTATACAGATGGTTGCTCATCATCATCACCTCGTCCTGGGTTTGTAAGTCAGTCTTGGTGTATTTTCAAGTGCTTTTAGTCAGAAGTGTTCAAATGCTATGTAGAAAATCTGGTAATTAAAGAATTCCATCTTTACAGTAGTTTCTAAAGCCATTTTGTGCTTCGGGACAGGAGCTTGTCAATTAGTTGCATAATTTTAGATGCGTAAACCAGCTGTATAATCAGTACATTTGCCTGTGTAGTAACTAGTTCTGTACCTAGTTTCTTTGAAGGTCGTCTCTTGTTCTGCTTTCCAGGGAAGTCATCATTAGCCATTTCCTGGGAAGAGGGACTTCCTGTTCCAGAGCTGTCAATCTTTAGCATCTCCTTCAGCACCAGGGTTCCCTTCTAAAACAACCACCAACACATGAATCTAGTTTAATTATGCAGACCTGGAGAGCGTTCCCGAAAGTTGCTTAAGTGAGATTAGAGATTGTGTGAATACTTATGACAGGATAATTGTAGTGCGGCTGAGAAGAGTAAGACTTAAAAAAAAAATTTGGACTACATCTAGTTTAAAAGTCCTAACTGGTTTTAACAGCAAGCTAACTAATATGTTTACATTTATTACAGGTTAAAATATGTTTGTGTTAAATGCTGGTCAGTGGGAGGTTTAAATGTAAAACTGAAAAATTTAGACTCAGTTTTAACCTAGATGCTTTTTCAACTACCCTTCAACAAAATCATGAGTCTATTTCTGAGTAAGATTGAAGCCACTACCATAGGTCTTCAAATAAATTGTGTCTTATGTGTTTGAGTTCACCTTTGCTGCCAATATGTATGATAAGGAAATTCAAAACTGTGACTATACTGAATAAGATGTAAAAGTATTAACTTATTGACATTTCTAATTCAGGTTCTTACATGACCATATATCTTAGTTATTAACACTTCTTAACAATAACACAGTTTAGATGGCTGCAGTTATTGGCTTTAATGTCCTTGTTTATGACTCTGCATCCATTCTGTTATGTGAATCATGTACAGCAGTCATGTTTCTCCAGTGTGTACACCCCTGGTCACTAGGATGGGGAGGTTATTTCAGAGAGCAGCTTTAAGAAACTCTGAGTTTAACCCTGAGCTCTGAGTTGATTTACCCTAATAGTGGAAAGTCAGTTTTCCATTCCAGAACAGCAGTGGTGGAGGAAGTACTCAGTTGTTAACTTAAATCAAAGCAGCAATACCACAAGGTAAAATACTCTGTTATAAGTAAAGGTCCTGCATTCAAAAAGTTACTTAAGTATAAAAGTATTAGCATAAAATATACTTAAAGTACCAACAGTAGAAGTACTTATTATTGAAAATGGCACAGCTTACACATCATATTATTCAATTACAGATGTGTACATCACATTTAATGTTGCAGCCTGTAATCGTAGAGCTAGTTTTAATTACCTTATATACTTAGAATTTAAATTACTGCTGGTAGCTTGTGAATTTTGCACCAAGGATCATTAAATCTTATGATTATACTGTATTTTGTTTTAATAACCTTTTTCTGAAAAGTAACTAGTAAAGTATGATGTAGCGGAAAATGAAAATACTCAAGCACAAACACCTCAAAATTGTACTTAAGTACAGTACTTGAGTAAATGCACTTAATTACTTTCCATCTCTCCTGATCAGTCTCTTCAGGCAACAACTATGTTCATTCTTAGGATGTGATGACTACAAAAAGCCACAATCCATGCAGCTCTGATGCTAGGACTCACAATGGCGGTAGGTACAGTGGGGCAAATAAGTATTTGATACACTGCCAATTTTTCAAGTTCTCCCACTTACAGAGAATGGACAGTTCTGTCGTTGTCATT